TGTAATGTGCCTAATTTGGTGCAATGTTTTGAATTTGCTTTGAGTTTTTCCTTGCTTGAAGACAAAACAATCAAATTTCATGAGGAAAAAAAGTTGAAAATGCATGTTTTTTGACACCATATTAACTTACAATTTTCTTTGCCAGATTTCTATTCTTCTAGGGTTATGGCCAATCAATTTGAATGTTGATGTACATTCTGTTGAGGAAACAAAACTAGTTTCTTGTGCATGTATCATATTGGTGACCCAGAATGTATACTTAAGTTGGGAAAACCCATCTCATGAGACTCTCACCAATTCAAGGGCTAAGGAGGATCAATATACGTAGTACAAGCAGAGAGGCTACTTTGTGTCTCGAACCTAGTCATTCAGGTTGCAAGGAGCAACATAGAATGCCCCATTTAATCTAATAATTTCTGTAATCAAATGTCTACCTTCATAACATAAAGTTGATCATATGTATAAGTGTTTCTCGATTGTTGCTTTCAGTTCATGTGTGACATTGCTATGAAACTTCACTGTCTATATGTTTCTGCAATAGGTCCTACAACAGTTAATGTTCGTGTCACTGGACTCACACCTGGACTTCATGGTTTTCATCTAGTGAGTAACTACTTTCTATTTTTCATCCTAAAAATAAATAAGTGACTTATAAACATGCTCTACTTGTTCTGTTTTGTAGCATGAGTATGGCGACACAACAAATGGCTGCATTTCAACAGGTTTAACTTAGCCATATTTATCACATATTTTTCACATGTGCAAATGATAAAACTTCATGATATATTTCTCACATTTGCTAATGATACTCTTAGTTAATGCTATAGTATATGATGCCTACAGGTTAGGATAGACTTTGTAAACTCCTGGTTAACCAGGATTCTATTATACATTTTCTGTCATCTCATGTGCTGTCATTGTAATTAAGCACCAATTCGTTCTGACAGGGGCTCACTTCAACCCTAACAAAATGACACATGGTGCTCCTGAAGATGAAGTCCGTCATGCGGGTGATCTGGGAAACATAGTTGCCAACTCTGAAGGCAGACTTTTATCCATCCTTCATTTTGTACTATCTTTATTGCTGATTGAGTTGTATTTTGAGTGCATATTGCTTTCAAAACTACAGGTGTAGCTGAGGCAACAAAGGTGGACAGTCAGGTCAGGATTTGATGGGTTTCTTGGTCTCTGTTCCTCTGTATCACAGTCCTTTCTTTTTTTCACACTTTTCATGTTTATTTAGGCCCATATCTTATTACTAGCTGGTTCCTGGCATTCTTATCTTGTTCTTTTATTTTTCTCTGTGATGAATATATAGATACCTTTGTCTGGGCCGAATTCAGTTGTTGGCAGGGCCTTAGTGGTTCATGAACTTGAGGATGATCTGGGAAAAGGTAGCACTTAGTTTATGTTTAGTTCTTTCACTACTGTATATAATGAATTACTGAGTACTTCGTGGAAGCATGTGTTTGTTGTCCCTTCTTTTCAATATTTCTCTTCCTTCCTCTGTTTTTTGGATTAAGTTTCACGTTACTCTGTGGTGTCCCCAGGTGGTCATGAACTTAGCCTTACCACTGGAAATGCTGGAGGAAGATTGGCATGTGGTATGCAATATATATTAATGTTGTCTTTTTCTTGAATGAACTCCTATCTTCCTAGCTATTTTGGTTGTTATTTTAGTTTCATTTGAAGTTTCTAGCTCTTATTGGAAACAACTAAGGAAGAAGGCAGTAGGAATTACGGTTAGTGGTCTTAATGTCACAATTGAATGATATTCTTTTCGTGTTTAAGCATTGGATATTACAAGGAAATTAGGAGTTTTGAGCACCACCCTGGTAGAGGTTCAACACCATAGTTCACGAATCTCTACTGTGAATTATCTAACAAAAAATTGTGTATGTTCATGTGGCAACTAGGTTTAGCCATAAGTTGGTCATACATCTCATTATAATGAATAACAGATTCAAGTATGTCCCTGAAAGGTGATTTTTAATTTTTATGAAACGTAATATCCCACAACAATTCTCTTGCACTGGTCATATATGAACATGGTACATTGGCAAGTGGTGGGACCCATCATTTCTTTAGGTGCATTCTTAAACAAGATAAAGTCCAAGTCCTGTTTGTTAAATTAGTCTGTTTTGTCTCTTTCCGGAGAAATTTTCATCCACCCTAAAAGGTTATAATGGACTAATAAGATTTTACTAACAGGAGATGTGTTACCACAGACCACAGTCTTACATGTTCTTCTCATTGTAGGTGACATTTTTATTTTTGGCCCATGCAAGAGAATTGCTGCAGAAGATTACATTATATGGAAGAATGAAAAATCACATTTCAGGGGCATTATATGATAGCCAATTCATTATTCATTATTCATTATTCATTATGAGATGGTAAAGTATGTCATTTGGTTGCTTGCTTAACTTCTTTCTTGATTGAGATGGTCGATTGAAGTTAGATAGACCATCATACTTGAACTTGAAATCTTTGAGGAGTTCTCTTTTATATGACTAATACTGAAATGTTCGCTGGTCTTTTTAATTGGAACTTCTTCATATAATATACACATCTCATTTCAAATAAAAGGCATCCTGTTGCTGTTGTTTGCACACTAGAGCAAAAGCATCAAGATAAATATGTTGAACTATACATTTTATTTTTGCTGAGCTGAGAGAAAGTAAAAATATCTGACTCCTTGCTGAGGTTTTTTTGCTTGATTCCTTTCCCTTGATTACTTGTGGATGACAACTCATTGTCACTAATAAGCTATCACGGAAGTAGACAATGTATTTGTCATTTATATTCTAAAAGAAAGTTAAGAGATGCAATCCTAATGAGGGCCTAAAAATGGTGGTGGTTCACTGTCTCAAGATTAATAAACTTGAGGGTGTTATCTTGAGAGATGTAATTTGATTGATGAACAGTAATGAAGAAGAAGATCTTGAGATAGTGAACAAAGATTACGCATGGGTTCATAATTACCTTTTCCATGTTGTGTAATTTATCTCATAAAATAATTAGGAAAGCAACAAATGATTTCTTACAAGTTGACCATCTAAAATTAGATGACAGAGGTGTAAATATTATGAATCATCCAAGTAAAATAAGAAGCAGTTTTAGAACTATGGAATCATAACCCAAAGCGGTAAATGAGCACAAAAAGAAAATGTTGTTAATATGATAAATCAATTTTTACTAATCTGTATGTCAATACTCAGATGTAAACAAGATGAGAGGACAAAGGGGACCAGTGGGAGTTTTAGTGTGTTTTTGGTGTGGGGAACATTGCTTTAAATTTTGAATTCAAGCATGCATTCACGTTGTCCTTTGAATCTTTTTGTAATTTTTATTCTGGATTTTTTGACATCTTGTATCAGACATATCACCAGTTGATTGTATCTGGAGCACCCTTAGAGGCAGGATTTTCATACTGATGCTTGTGTAGATGTAAAATGGTTAATTTGGCTTAACTGTTTTAGTTGTTTACAGATTTTTCATGAGTTTTCACAATTATTTTCTATTAAACAATGTGTTATCTATGCAGGTGTTGTTGGTTTGACTCCAGCCGAGTAATTATTTCATACATCCTAGAAAAGCTTGTTCATTTGCAGGCAGTGGAACTTGTTTCCAAGTCGATGAACCTAATGGTTTCTAGCATTTCATTGGGGCATGTGCATAAGAAACAAGACTCTGTTTCCCTTTTTGTATCTTAAGATGCCACCTAGTAATTTGAGTATCAATCTGGTTAGGATAATTAATTGTGATTTTTAAAATAAATTCAAGACTGCAGTTTGAGCTGCATTATTCTTTTCATGGTCCAAATCATGTTTGTGAGTCGTACCAGTTTGTGCAGCTTCTCTAGCCACTTTTGGGCTAGGGTTATGAGCTAAAGCGAGTCATGTTCATCAAGGGACTGTCTGGTTGCCTGCGAGTGCATTTGCAGCTAGTAGCTTAGGTTTAAACATTCTGTTACTTGCAAGTACATCACTTGGAGCATTTTGTGACTGGCTCGATTGCAAGCATTAAAAAAATTGTTTCTGACTGCCAATTAGTCATTTGTTTTTGCTTGTCGCTGTTACTTGCAGACATTTTTTTCTATCGGTAGGCGATTCAATACCACCTCACCTAAGAAGCACGATGCCCAGCATACATGTACGATGGAATCTGAAGATTTCAGCCATGTGTTTTTTCTGTAAGTTTTCAACCTCTTCCCTAAGATTTCTGCAAAGTTCACTCCGAAAATCTTTGGAGAGGCGATTTGACAAACCGCCACCCCAACCCTCCCCCCCCCCCCCAAGCAGGGTTTCACCTTAGTTCAATTAGCATGCTCATGCCATGTGATCACCACGTAACCGAGCCTTGTAACGTCTATGATACTCCAAATGTAAAAGGCGAATGAACTATCTGTCTTAATCAGTTGGATAAGTTATTTTATGTTGGAGTATCCCGATCAAACCCTTTTGCCTGGGCTATATTAGCACAAACGTTTAACAAGTTC